GCAGGCACGGATCGCGGCAGGAATGGGAGGGGGGCTGATCACTCACACGATGGCTTTTCCCGAAGCACTAAGGCAGGGCTGCTCCCTGGGGCTACAGTGATGCTCACAGCACGTGCCGAGGGCCTCAACTGAAGTGTGGTTGCATATACGTGCAAATCTATATGCAAATATATGCAGATAGCTTCTTTCACACTGACAGCCAGGAGTACAAAGGTGAAGGCGAGACGACACAGCACCCGGGCCCCGTTTAAGTCAGTTCTGCTGATACTGATAAAATGCAACATTGACCCACTTCCACCCATAAGGCAGCACTTTGAGCAACGACAGGCCAGGAATTGAACTAACACGCATCTCAGCAGACCAGTCTATTGACTGCTTTTTTGTTTCGGCTCCCACCCGCGGGTGGGGCCCCGCGGAAACCCAGACTGCGCCGTGGGCCGCGAGCATGCAGCCCGTTGGCCTTGTGTTGAGTAGCCCCTGCACTAAGGTCCGGCCCTGACTGGAGGCAGGGCGCTAGACGTGCCACGCCGGGGCCCGATTCTGTGTTCTCCTCCAGCGTGAGCCCTTACGGAAACAGGCCGCCCGTGCCTCTCGCTGACCTCTCCCGGTGCCCTTCCTTTCCTCAGCGCATGTCGGCCCAAGAGACCATTCCCGTAATGAACGGGGTCTCGGGCCCGGAGAGCGAGGACTACAGCCGCTGGTCCGAGATGAAGAGCGCCCAGCCGAAATCCCTCTCCCCTCCCCAGCATCAGAAGCAGCTGAGCGACTCGTACTCCAACACGCTCCCTGTGCGCAAGAGCGTGACGCCGAAAAACAGCTACGCCACCAGTAAGGAGAGCCGCGGCCGGGCGGGCTCCGGGTCGGGGGCTGAGGGGCGACGGAGGCTGCCTGTTAGTGACTGTGAAGTGTCCCCCGGTGACGAGTTGCCTGGTTCACTTCCCTCGTGATGATGCAGTCGTCCCTGGCCCTGACAGCCATGTGGGGCGGGGTTGCCGTTTCACCCATCTCTGAGCACAGTGTTAGAAAGGGGGGGGGAGGGCAGTTTTGCACTGCAGTTCCTCTTGGAAGGAAAAAATTTACTAGCCTGGGCCCCCCTGGAGTTTGGTGTGGGAGGAGAACGTGGGGAGGGACTTTTTTATTTTTTTTGCTTCTCACTTGTGTGCGGCCCCCGCTGATGGGTCTGTGGGTCAGCGGCCCCTGAGCCGAGAGGTTCCCGCCCTTGCTCAACTGGCTAAAAGGGGGGTCGCTTCCTTTCACTGCCATGTCGGCTGAGCCGGGGTCGATGGATGACTCTGCCTCGGTGGCAAGCTAAGGTTTGGTCAGCCACGTGCCTGAGACCTCGGGGCTGGCTTCCTGTCTCCGCAGCTGAAAACAAGACCTTGCCGCGCTCCAGCTCCATGGCGGCCGGGCTCGAGCGGAACGGCCGGATGCGCGTGCGGGCCATTTTCTCCCACGCCGCGGGGGATAACAGCACCCTCCTGAGTTTCAAGGAAGGAGATCTCATCACGCTCCTGGTGCCGGAGGCCCGAGACGGATGGCACTACGGGGAGAGTGACAAATCAAAACTGTGAGTGTCTGGGAAGTCCCGAGAACTGCAGGGGGGCCCCAGCACCTCGCTCCGGAGTGGCCGGCGCCCCGAAATCAGTATTTCCATTTTTTTTCCACATGCCAAACCTGAAATCTTGTATTTTAAAAGAAAAAAATCCATTCTGTGGCCTGCAAAAGTCCCCTCGCCTTGGCGTTGCAGGTGGCTGGGGGAGGGAGAATCCAAGGGGGGCTGGTTTAGGCCAGGAAGGGACCTTTCGGAATAGTATCGGTAAGCGCCCGAGTGTTTCCCACACTTGATTGATTGGTCCGTGGCACACACCTGCAAAGCCGTCAGAGCTGGTCCCTGCTGGCACAGCCCAGTGCGGCTTGTAGCCGGCGAGTCCCCTTCATAGACACGTCTCCACGGGAACGGCTCGGTTTGACTCTGACTTGTGGCTCTGCCCTGCAGACGAGGCTGGTTCCCTTTTGGAAGCGACCGGGTACACGTGAGGTAAAAACGCTCTGTCCGTCGCGGGGGTTGGGGGATGCTCATGTGGGTCTGGGGATCCTCTCCCAGTGCTGACCGGCTTGCGCGTGGGTCCCGGGGCCGGCACGTACTGTGCTTTCCCCAGCTACGCTGCTGCAGTTTGGCCAGCTTTGTTGTGGAAACAATGTGATGATTCCCCCCTGCCCCCAGAGGTCACGTCTGTAAAGATTGAACCTTTCTAGTCCGGCACGTCCGGTCCATCAACATCCGTGGTCCGGCGTGACTTGAGTGAGCCGGATGTTCGCTTCTAGTGGGCGTGGCCAAGTTTCCCGCGGTCCCATAAAGTTTGTTTGCAGCCACCAGGCCTGGCTCTCAGCGTTCGGTGCTGTTCTTCAGCTCTAATTGACCCCAAGTGTCTCCTCCGAGCCCAGCCAGCAGTGGAAGTGTCGGTCACGCTGCTAGACAATACCGACCTCCCGAGGTCTGGCAAATTCTCTGCTTCGGGGCCGGTCAGGTCCCGAGGGCGCCGGTTCCACCTGTCGTTGAGTAACCCAGAGCAATGCGAAGGGAAGGGCTCCTCACCAGGCGTGTTGCATCAGCCATGGCTGCTCCTGCGTCCTGTATGACCACGGAGAAGGCTCTAGATGCCCTAGGAGATGGGGGAGAGTGGGGTAGGGCGCTTTCTCCCTCAGGGGCATTCGGAGGCTTTCAGGTGGGCAGCATCACCAGGACTGTCCGATGGGAGAGGGTCTCCGTACTTGGGCTGACGCGGGGACCTGCCCCTTATCTTCAGCTAGCCCATGGCGCTGTAAACGCAGGACTGTCCGATGGGAGAGGGTCTCCGTACTTGGGCTGACGCGGGGACCTGCCCCTTATCTTCAGCTAGCCCATGGCGCTGTAAACGCACCGCTTCTCCCCCCCCCCCGCCCCGGGGGAACCCACAGGGTGCCACC